GAGAAGCCCAAATCATTTAACACAGCCAAAAACAGACCCATTCTAACAGTGATGCAAGAAAAGTATCACTACATAACTTGTGTCACCAAAGATGACCCTAAATCAAGAAAAGGTTTAATTATACTTAAGTACAAATATACTTGGATTACAGCAGAAAATCACTTTTACAAAACACTGACATCAGCTGAAATTTAAAATGTTGGTATTCAAAGGTAAAAACAAGAAAATTCATTGAATAGCTTCAATAATTCAATGGACTTACTACACTTACTACCAAAAATTTTATACTTAGGACAGTTATCTCCTTTCTGTTGCTAATCTTTGTGCCAAACTCCTGGGGCCAATCTGGCTATTATATTCCACACCCTTTTTCCAAGAGTTGAAAAAGTATACCAAGTGTAAGTTTTCCCTAGTAACCTCTGACTTTAATATACCTAAATACATTTAAACTCCTCCCCCAAAGTATTTTTTGGAAATCATCCAAATCTTCTATTTAAAGTTTACCTATAGCTGTAGCTTTAATTACCCAATTTGTACATGTGAATTATTCCTCACAGATATACCAATAAAATGTTCTTTACTATGATCATGACAGTATTTCATTTAATAAATAGCACAGGTTACTTACCCATAATCCTGCTTCTCTGACAGACAAAACAAGGTAATCATAACATTACAGAGTTTAAACCAGGGCTGAAGAATTTTGAAACCTGAGTACCCAAGATCTGCTCCATGAAAGAATTCAGCCTAGAAGCCCAAAGTCCATAGAATAAATCCTTATTGGATGAGTTAACCACATGTAGTTCAGACCATGAATTAGAAGTAGAAGCTCTAATCCCATTTCTACCAACAATTTATCACAATTCTTTAATAACCTAAAACCTTAATCGTGAGTTAGGAAATGGGAACTATACAATGCCACCTGTGTTGTCTACTTCCAAGTTGTTATATCAAATATGAAACTGTTTTGTAAATTATAAAGTACAGTACAAATGTAAAATTATTTTATCCAAGATGACTCCTTTAGCGCTTTCTAAGCAAAACCTGTCCCTAGTCCTGGAGTCCTCTGCCCCCTTGAAAGAATCTACTTTGACAAACATTAAAAGCAGTCTCACAAGAACTGCATCTAAAAAATTATGAGGACTTTCTCTATAGGGTTCTGAAACTGATGAAGATATCAAATGGTTTGGCTTAAGCATGGTTCACAAGAAGGATGTAATTATTTCGTACATTAACATTTTCAGAGGACCAAATTTGAAAATATAGTTCTTGTAAATATTGTTTAAAATGGCTTGAAAATAAGATTTTTACTTGAAGACTCTATGAGCAATACTCTCAGATGAGCACTAACCATCTTATACTTTCCTTTTCTATAATTTTTAAAATTCGTATAAACATTAGCAGTGTTATCAATGAATTAATCTTTTACAAGACCTCAAGAATATAAAAACCCTAAAGCTGACTTTTCACCCTCTATATGTTCATGAAAGGCTACAACATCATTAAATAAAGCATTCCAAGGCTCTTCAGATATTTATTTTTAAAACTATTATTGTGCAATGAGAATTCAGAGGCAAAAGACAAAATCACATTTTCATCTAGAAAATTTATTTTCCAGTGACTGCCTTGTGAATTGGAAGCTCTGAATGTAAAAACCCAGGAGATAAACTCTTCCACACCTGCTCGCCCTAGAGCCAGAACTTTAAAACTCAGAGATCAGTTTCAGTTCTTCTGAATCAAAACTTAGCAAAATGTCAATTCCCTAATGGCATGGGCAATGCACACTTAAGTACATGATCTCAGTCAATCTGGCTACTTAGACCCAGAAGGGCATTATCTACCACTGTAACAGATTTCATCAACCTTGAGATCGAAGCATTTGAGATGAAGTACATTCCCCATCCCTTAATTTATGAGAAGGTACATCTGGTAAAACAATCCACAGCTGGAATCTTGCCAGAGAAAGATTCTCATTAGTCCTTTGCTCATAGTGGAGTTTTCCATTTACAAAAATAAACATATAAAAGCACACTGTAGACTTATGTCCTGGAGAAGAGAGCAAACACGGTATGAGGTCCGGAATAAGTGCAGATTCATTTCCCTGGCCTATGGCCTAATTAAATAGTTAATTAGCCCAATTAACCCTAATTACCATAAATCAGGTCTAAGGATAAGACTCTACACAGAGTATCTTTCAAACATTTACAAGTGATTAGATAACCCTATATTTGATATCCTTGCGAACAAGTTGGATAAATTTTAGGCTGAATGTTAGGATAGCAGATTGCTAATTAAATAATCAATGTTAATTTAGAGGAGTGTTGCACCTGAAATAAAGAGCAATGTTCTCCTGGCTCCAAACAACTATGCCAAGCTCGTTGTTTTCTATTAAAAACATACTTTTAAAACTGGCTACCAGTAAGTAAGCATTCACTAATAGTAGAGACACTCATATATAGGCATGGCAATGCCCATTTCCTAGTTTCAAAAATGCAATTATTTGGAGAAATTTTCCACTAAGAGAATAAAGAAGAAAAAGAAATATTTGACGAGGCGTATGTACATCTCTGTGTGCAGAAGAACAGTAATCCATCTACCCCAAGTGTATTTTTCCTCCTTTACCTTAAAATGCCTTTTAACAACAATTTTTAACTTCCAGAAATGTATTTAAGATTTGAAAATAGATAGGTATCATGAAGCTATTTTTAACAATGACAATTTGGGTTTAAAAGAGCCAACATTATATCCAACCATTTCTTGGCTCTAGAAAAAAAGCATAGAAATAGGGACTTTACTGAATCAGATTACATGACATCATCAAACACTCTCTCCCAATTTTCCTTAAATTATCTTTAACCAAAATGTTTATGCAAGAAGAGGCTCCCTCTCCATCTCAGTTTTCCTAATTTGTTTCCTTGGTGAGTTAAAAGTGAAGTGTCAAAAGGCACTATTATCAAATGATTTGGAATGAAGAAAAAAAGCAAGGACTGCCTGCCTTTTGCCCAAAGTCACCCAATGAGGCATTAATTTGAGAACACTGTCCTAACAAAGTAACTACTATCCAAATTCAAAGGACTTTGTATATTCTGATGAACCCATGAAATGGTATTGTTCTCCTCCTCAAGGCTTAGGAATATGTAACATCATTCTTTAACAACTGTTTTATAGGAACATCATCCTTCAGAATCATTATGAGGGGAGCTATTACCAAAAAGAACATCAGTGAATTCATAGGAAAATATTTTTCATCAATAACCAGCTAAGCCTTAAGAGAGCATCTCTTTTGCCAAAGAACCAATAAAAAGAACAGAATTAACAGAGTATCATTTTGTAAAATCACACATTTCTTGAGTTTTTGGTATTTCCCCAAGACAAATGCTCTGCTTCCTTGCACCTGTAGATAAGCAACTCTACTTTTAAAAATGGTTACATAATACCAATGGTAAAAACTCAGCTTATCTCAAATTAAAAAAACTTAAATTATGAGTTGTTTTACTATCTAAAATTGGACATCAAACATTCCAAATACATGAAATGTTGAACAGTTCCATAAAATAATGAATGAAATGCTCAGATAAAATGACATCTCTATTAAACTTAGTATTAAAATGTTATTTATAAAAAGAAAGAAAATTTTCAGAAGAGGCCTATGCTAGAAGGCCACCGTATTATCATACAGAAATGTGAATTATCTGTAATGCATGGCAAAAAAATTTATGTTCACAACCACGTTTGATACTTTATTCTGATACATACCATGTTCTGACAATTGTCACAACAGAAAGTTTCCTCAAATCAGGATTTTTACATAGCTTATATAATCTAATTGTTGTATTAATTCAAAAGCCTGCTCTGTAAAAGTAAAGATGATTAACATATATGTCTGTCTTTTACTGTTGCTGACTTATGACAAACTGTTCAAGTTCTGTTCAGGATTAGAGATAGAACCAATAAAAGAACCAATAAAAAGAACAGAGTTTTGTACCAATAAAAAGAACGTAGTTTTGCTTAGATTTTGTAAAGAAAATCTAAGCAAAACTACGATAAATTTGGACTCTGAATTCTTTATTTTAAAAAGTGCCCTGGCTGGGTGGCTCAGTTGGTTGGAGCATCGTCCCATACATGCAAAGGCTGTGGGTTCCAATCTAGGTGAGAGCACATACCTAGGTTGTAGGTTCAATCCCCAGTTTGTGTTCATGCAGTAAACAACCAATTGATGTTTCTCTCTCTTTCTCTCTCCCTCTCTCACTCAAAGCAATAAAAAAAATGTCCTTGGGTGAGGATTAAAGAAAAAGTGCCTTCATCACAAAGTTTAAGAACTGATACTATTTTAAGATATAGTCTCCCCTTAAAATTCAGAATTAGGGAACACCTGTCTCAAATACTTTATGTGAACTACAGAGCAGACAGACCCTTGCTAATATGCTAATTACAACATACAACTTGTTGTCATAGTATTGAGAGTCATATCTACTTTTCTAAGTCACAAAAGTAAAAAATGATGCATAAAGCACATTTTTTAAAATCAAAGGTTATAACTGGAAATTAGATATATATAACTAAGATAAAAGTAGATTTGGAACCCCCCAGATTTCCCTTATTGGGATATCTAGGCACTCATTATTTGTTCTATACTACCCAGAAGGCACAGACACTATAAATCAAAGTATATTGTGATAACTAAAGATGTTCCCATTTTATAAATTAAATGAAATGGTATAAAACATTTAAGAACATAAACACCAATAATCAAGTTTCCACATGTCTCTTCTAACTGAGGCATGCTGAAATACCAAAACTAGAAAATCATATTGCTGTTGAGAAAGTAAAAGTTGAGTTTTAAATTTTTTTTGAAGTTTTTTTTAAATGAGTTGAGAAAATTATGTTAGAACTAAAACTTTAGCTAAAGCATTAAATGTTGTGAATAGACATTTATGAATAGTGAAAATTTAGGGAATAATAAACAAAGCAGAATTCATGGTTACCATATTTACACATACTCTTTGTTGTGTTTCAGTGCCACATGATCTGATTCAAAGTAATAAACATCAGGATCATCATCTTCCTCTTCTGTAATGTGCAGATTGGCACTCTCTTTGGCAGATGGCAAATTTCCAATATTGAGTCTTGCCTCTGAGGGTGGCTTAATTTGTCCTTCACTCCCATAATTTTCGGAGTCACAACATATCCCTTTTTCATTCTGAGAAATTTCACCAGGATGTGTGGGAGACTTACTTATATTATCACTAACAGTTGCATTTGTTTCATTAGGACTACGATTATTCTCCTCAAACTGTCCATTTTCTCTGCAAGGAGAACTGTTTTTAGTGGGACTATTTCTGGTAGGGGCTGCCCTTCGTGGTGAAGTTCTCAGAGTATATCGATGTTCTTGAGGTTCTGATAAAGACATCGTTTGAGCTGAAACACAGTCTAGAACAGAAGATGGTTCCAGCTCTCCAGAAACTGGCATACTCTCAAGTCTTGTGTCCAGGGCGTTACTGGTGTTTTCATTACACTGCTCTTTTGAGGCACTGCTATCTCCCACCACATCTACTTCCTCCTCAGAATCCCTTAAAGATGACTGAGTTTCAGGAAAGGGGCCTGTAGCTGGCTCGGTTGTCAGCTGATTAACATGTTCCACAGGCAGGCAGGCAGTTACTATTTTGTGGTCCTCCAACTTGACCTGCACTTCTGAATTCGTGCAAGGCACGTTATGGTCTACATAACTGTCCTCCTTCCTACTATCAAGGAACATTGAAGTGTGGGTGTCGGAATCCCCATTTTCAGCTACTGATTTTTCCTGGAACACACAGGAACCAGTGCTGTTCTGTTTAGTGTTCCCATCAGGCTGACAGTCATCACAGTTTATACCAGCTGAATCACTGTCATCAACACCATTGACAGCCAAATAGCCTGTGATTTCTTCAACTACTGCAGGATTAAGTGGCCCTTCCTCACTGACATTCACCTTTTTAATTTCCCTTTTCTCACAATCATCCAGTATAAGACATCGACAAGCTCGTTTAGTCCCTTGAAAATCTGCATCATTGTCCACTACTGTATTCCTCTGTTCTACTGACTCCTTGTCTGATTTTATAGGTGAATCTTCTTCTGAACTGTTTGGTGCTTCAGATCTAAGACAACGCTTAATTCTTTTTAAAACTGGTGAAACAGGTTCTGTTTGCCTTTTCTCACAATTTTCTATAGCCTGCCTTTCTCCATTATCTTTTTCTGAAGAAAGTCCTCTTTTCCTAGGGCTTACCCATGATTCTCGAGTACTTTGCTGTTTTAAATCAGTAGTTCTCCCACTATTATTTCCCTTCTGAATTTGCACAGGCTCTGGTCTCTTCTTTGGTGATCTTGATCGTACTTGAGAATGAGAAGATATTTCTTCAGGGTGAGCAATGCTACGATTCCTTAAAGTTCTACCACAAAAAGATTCATCCAAGCCGTTTAACCCCACTGTTGATCTTGTAACACGAGTAGATCGGGAAGCAGCCATACTATGGCAAGTCCCTACTATACGGTCATCATGATCCACTCATTGGGAAACCTTCAAAAATGTAAACAAAATAATGAGAAAAAAGGTAATAGTTAATATACCTAAAACAAAAGTATAAAGCTAAAACTTTTTAATCCAAGTATAGCCAATATTAATAAATTATTTGATATAATGTATTGTATTAACATTTCAAAAATGCTATTAATAGATAACCATTCATTATATGGCACTTAAGTTCCAAAAATCATTTTATATATTTTGTACACAATAACTCACTGAAGTCCACAACAACTAGAATAGGTACTATTATCCCTACATTACAAGTAAGAGGACTGAACCACACACATTTTCAGTTATCTGTCCAAAGCCACACAGCAAAGTGGCAGGGCAGGGCTCTAGAGACCAAGCTCTTAACTTGCTTCACTGTGCCTCTGCCTTTCACATAGGCACAAAGGGCCCAAAAAAGATCTCTCAAAGACAGAATTTCATCTGGGTTATTAAAATAATAATCTTGAACTTATACAGCAGCCATCACAAAATCTATCCCAATCATTTCTCATTTTTTCTCAAAATATTCCTGCGATGTAAAAAGGCAGGAGCTGTTCTTTTTAATTCACTCTTAGTACAGGGAGTTTCAGGTCAAATCCTCTCTTAATAAACTATGTGGCATCCAAAAAATGTTGGTTGCAGTAGAATTTTTTGTAATTAAGCAGACTGGTAGAAATCACAATCTTAGCTTGCAGTGGCTAAGGGCCAAACAGAGTAAAGCCAAGCCTCCCTAGTCCCTAGAAGTAGAGCCATAAATTGGCAAGTGAAACAAAGTATATTCTGAAGAGAATAGAAGAAAAAAGGAAAGAAGCCCCTGAAGCAAATATTACATTTAAGAAATCAGGAGTATACATATAACCCCATCCTTTCCTTCTCAGAACTCCTATATATGTGTGTATGCCAGTTAAAAGGCATGTTGGGGAGATGAGCATTTTCTGCTGTGAATGTTTGGTGTTTATAAGACAAATATGAGAGAAAAACTGGAAAAATGCTCCCACTGATCCATTTGGATAAACCGAGGGGTTTAGTGGTTATTTTCCAAAGGCTCTCTCATCAAAGCAGAATAAAGGAGCTGTTAATATTTCAAGTCTCCATTCTTCTGCTGTTCTGTTTAACTTTCACAAGATACTTCGCCACTTCACCGTCTAACTTCAAATGGGGTGCATGACAGAGGAAGAAACCAATAAAGACTATAGTACAGAGTTTCACAGTACCCCCCTTCCTTTCTGCCATCGTTACAACAGATTCCCTCTCATAACCCTCCAAATGCCATTCTACCCCTGTCCCCACAAATCAAATACAATCTATCCTTTGCCTCAGCTAGAAGTCTCTAATAGTGGAAAGGTTATGAAGAACCACAGAAGACACAACAACATGTTATGACACAGAGAAAAAGAAATATTAAAACTTAGAAATAAATTCCTCACAGTAAACATTTACTATTTTGGGATTTACCAGAGGAATCTGACACATAATTCTCTTTTGTTAAGATCATGTGAAGATTACAATCTATTATTTTTATTCACAGATAATAAACACTGAATGACCCATAAATATCTACTTTTAATTACAAAAAGTTAGACTTTGAATGTTTCAGAAGAGCACAAACTAAAAAATATTAACATAAATTTGTTTCATGTACCCAAATCTGGAGCTGTCAAACTTGAAGGTAACTGATTTTTAAATATTAAATACCTATGGAAATATACAAAGAAAAGACTTATAAAACTGAACGCAAATATCTTTGATGCAAATTTGATTATATTCATAATTTCTGGCTCAAATATACCATACTTTGCCATATATAATGTACACTTTTTTGCCCAGATTTTTGAGGGAAAAATAAGGATGCACATTATACATGGGTAGTACTAATTCCATATCTACATAAATGTTTTTAATTTATTTATGCTTATGTATTAAAAGTGTAACTGTAGAAAGCAGTAACGATATCCATATGTAAAATAATACCCTGGAGTATGAAAATCAGTTTTGTTTCTATATAATATAAAAAATGGAAATAAAAAATTATAATGAAAGACTTTTTTCTTGAAAGTTTGGACCAAAAATATGGGTGTGCATTATACATGGCAAAATACAGTAATATTGGAAAAATGTTTTACAATCACGTAAAAACAATCTAGTAATCTTTACTTTTTAAAGTGTGATGCCAATTAAGGGTATATAAACCTCAAAATTATTCCAGTAACTAGCATTCTTATCCTTTCTATTCTTGCTAATCCAAATGAAAGCAAAATCCCTGCTTTGTCATTATTAATGAAATAAGCCTATTATTATTAGTACCCAGAAGTACTATATATATATATATAGTTATATATGTATATATATCATTATATATGTATATATATATATCATTATATATGTATATATATAGTATATATATGTATATATGTATATATATATAGTATATATATATGTATATATATATAGTGTGTGTGTATATATATATATATATATATCATTATAAAATACTACCGGAGAGGGTCTATTTCATTTCTTTACCATTTCAGTGATTAAAACACTGAGTACTATGAAAGACTAAATCCTCTGGTTTCTTTTGCTAAAAATGTTTTATTCCATTCAACAAATTCAATGAAGCCAAATTTTTATAGTTCTCAAATCCTGTCCTATTAGGCCACATTTAAAGTGAAACTGTTTTATAAACAAAGACCTTCTGGTATCTCACATTCTTGTAACTTGAAGTGTGCCAAGAGGACCTGCATCATGGACATCTCCTGCAAGATTGACTAGAAATGCATAGTACCAGGCACTGCTCCAGACCTATTAATTAATCAGATTCCCAGGTGATTTATATGCCTATGAAGGTTTGAGAAGCAGTACCTTCGAGTACTACATCCAAACAGTGTTTTACTAAAATAGCAGTGTTATCAAGTTTCAAACTACTGTATTTTGCCATGTACATGTGCACTTTTTTGCCCAATTTTTTGATGGAAAAGATAAGGATGCACATTATACATGGGTAGTACCTAAAATACTTTGTATCTGTTCTTATGTTTTGTAATTATTTGTAACAAAATTCTTTGTACTGTAATATGTTCAAAAATAAATGCTAAAATTCCTTTATAATACAAAAAACAAGTATCTAAATATAAATGAATGAATTAATCATTTAATGAAAAATTAAAACAAAAGCTTTTTTTCCTGAAAGTTTGGGCCAAAAATGTGGGTGCACATTTTACATGGTAGCAGATTACACATGGCAAAATATAGTAAATTAGACTTAATAAAAAATTTATAAATAAAGCCACGATCTCTTTGGCAGAGAACTATAAAATTCTCTGGCCTGAAATTAACATATTGCATGATCTTAAAGTAATAAATTGTTTAAAATTCTGAAGAGTTAAATAACATTTTGATACTCTTCCCTCTAATAATTTTCTTCTGTCCTAACCTTTTTCTTCATCTTTCCTGTTTTGGACAGGCATACTTTCTACAGTTATCTGATAAACTGAATACAAAATTCAATGACCAAAATGGGACCAAAAATGTCCTGATTATCTCAACCAAGTCTAAACACAGTTATGCCATGCTTAGCAAAGCATCAGAAATTAAAACAATGTTTTCCTCATTTCAGCCACATATAGTTACTGAAAAAATTCAAAGAATTTCTCTGGAGCACAAAATAAAATTCCTGCCAAAAATTAAGTTTCTAAGGAAATGGAAAGAAACTCAGTTTCAAACTAATATCTCAGAAAAGACCCTGCTAGTTAACTAAATAGGAGGCACATGGTGAAATCCTTAACCAAACTCAACTAGAACTGGAAATTCAATCACTCTAGTCTTAAAATTAAAGTAAACTTAACATATTCATATGAGCAAAACCCAATCTAGCAATTAGAGTAAAGGTTTCCATATCCACCAACTAATGAATATGACACTTTCTAGAATATAGGGAAGAGAATACAATAATTCACCAGAATTAAATATAGTCTCTCCTCTTTTCCCTACCCTCAAAAAGTTTCCATCCTATTGGAGGACTTACCTGAGCAGGGTAGCAGTCAGCCAAATTTCAGCCTTTCCATTCATATTAAGCCCCAAATCCTACCTATAATTCCACATATCTCACCCATTTATTTTATGTTGAACTAACCTTCCTCCGAATCTGAATCTATTTTTACCTCAAATTTAATAGGGTTCTGAAGCACTCTCTGAAACAGTACCAGCTGTTTCAGATCATAAATTTCTAGACCCCATGATCATCACATTTGCAGAAGTCTGTCAATAAGAAGTGACAGGAAAAATCAACATTAAACTAAATGATCCACCTAATGAACACTACTCCAGCTATCATCTTTATTTAAGAAAAAGAAATCTCAAAATGATAGTGGAAAGACATTGCCTGTAATGTTTTGCTCCTACTATAATTACCAGAATAGTATAGTTTATTTTGGGGATTAAGGAACTGGTAATCTTACATTAACATCACTGTTCTAGTTGGTATTTATACTATATTTAATTTTATTAAACGGACAATTTTTAGGAAACTGGTCATGGTTAACAGACAAACCAAAGTGAAAAGCAAAAGGAGCAAGAGCAACTGGAAAGTGTTACCCATATGATTCTTTTTCCGTCTGTCTAAAACAGAGATTTCCAATACATGCAATACCCATTTAGTTAGAGGTACTGACCTCTTTTCCCTTAGAATTGGCCCCCCCCCCCCCGAAAAGGACAATAGTCAACACAACAATAGATGTCTGTTGTGAGTAAATCAAAATTATAACTATTTTTGAGGTGGTCAGATTGGCAAAAAATATAATAAATTTTTTGGTGTGCTGCAGAATTTTAGTAATTAGCTTATGTGTTATGAAATAAAAAAAGGTTGAAAATTGAAGGTCTAGAATATAAACATGAACTGCTTAATAATGGATCAGACTATCCTTGTCACAAAATTTTTTTACCAGTTTCTTCAGCCAAGCAATTACATAATTTCTAATAGGTCGAAAGTATCTATAAGGTTAAAAGCGGACAGTGAAATCTGGGAACCACCTATACAATTCAACTTACTCTTTAATATTAATCTCTGAAGCCTGGGAACTCTATTATGTAGTGTCTTATATAGAAGGATCTTTTCTTTCTTTCCCATTAAGAGAGACAGGTGTATGATAGATTATAGGTTGATTGATAGATTGATAGATAGATAGATAGATAGAGCTGAATGAATACACACTTAAAGAGACAATTGGGGAAAAGGAGACGTCAAGGAATTTCATAATGCCCTTGATCAAAAATACCTAGTGTTAAATAGGCTCCAGAGATTCCAATGTACTTTGTCACTTCATTTATCCCCCCTGCTGGGAAGAGTGGGGAAAATATTCATCCCCATCCCATTCCCTATATAACTCTATATTCCTGTGAACTGTACAATGTCCCATGCAGAGAACTATAGAAAAATAAGAAACTCCCCCCTCAATCAAACTGTAGTTGTCTTCGCTACTGCAAAACTAAATAACTTACCTGTACAACCAAAGATCTATCATTGTGGAAATATTATCTCTTTTCCTTATATCCTGAAGGAGTTGGAGCTATGATCTAGAATAGAGCTTAGGCATCAGGGTTTCAGACTTTCAGCTTCAGCCATGGAGAATACTAGAACCTCCTAAATTCCTTTCTTTAAAATAAAATAATAAAAAAAAAGAATTAAAGAAGCAAATTAACTTGTGCTAAAAGATTTACCCCTTCTATAATAAGAGAAAATAGCAGGTAACAGAATACCTAGTCACAGTAATATCACTGGTAATTCTTGGTAACTCTGTAGTCTCAAAAACACTAAGAAACTGGAACAGGATTTTTTGAGAACAACCAAAAAAAGCTTGACATATAAATCCTTACAACTCAATATTAGTTTGAGTCAAAATGTGACTCAGTTCTTTTTCTAGAGTCTCGGGCAATATTTTTTTTGAGGTGACCCAAAGATTGCCCTTGGTAAGAGTCCTCATACAGAATTTATAAACTTTTTCTAGAGATGTTCCCGAATTTTGGCCTTTATATGCAAAACTGTGAACTGAAAACAAAAATAATTCAAGTTATGCACACCAAAGAATCAACCAAGTCTCCTATATCTACATGATAACCTTGATGACTATTGAAGTGCTACAAGACTATTACAAAGGGAAATTTCTATCATTTTAGCATACGGATTTTCAACAGGGACAAAAACAGTATTTTCTGGTTTTAGTACCCAGTTGGCCAGATATTTTAATTACCTTAATTAAATTCAATTTCTTGGACAGTATGTTTAGTTACAGCTTTATTTTATAATAATGTATTATGACATCCTTTTCAGCCAATCTGACTAAATGAGTTATGAAATGCCCATTTGGAAATAAGGAGGAACTAGGAAAAAGACTTAAGTGTTTATGATGGAAACTGTCACTGTATTATAAACACAAAACAAGATATTCTAAAAGTGACACTATTTTTGGTGAAGGATTATCATTTTAAAACTGATGCAATTATCAAGTTTTATAAACTAGATTTACTGCCTAGTAAAGACAAATTATGGTTTTAGTCAGCTAGAAAGGGAGCAGAGCTGACTGATATCTGGTATCTATAGATGCAACCTCTCTCACATATGCCTTATAATTTCTTGAAAATCACAAGGTAGGAAAACTATGTAAGATAATTTAATACTACACTAAAAAATTTTTTCTTTAATTAACAGGAGGGTACACAGTGAAAACAGGGTCCTATAAGAAGTAATCCTTGACTTGGAAATTCACTCTTCTTATAACAAGGGTTCCAACTGCCAATTCCTTTGTGTCCAACCCTGAAAGCCTTTCACAAACATGGTAAAACATGTATTATATTCTACAGTGCATAGTGGTAATGGCAATCATCACAGTCTAAGAGGATCCACGATGTAAGATGTGTCTGAGTATACACTGATATGCCCATTCTAGCACTCTATCAAGTTCTAGTCAGCCATGTTATTACCTTTTCATACAGCGTTTATTATAGGAACATCATCCGTTAGGGTATTTACCAGGCAAGGATATCGCCAACAGTTATTTTCACAGAAATGATACTTGCAGCTGAGTTCAACTAGTATAAAGACAGACAGGATCATGCAGATGTGTTTCTAAAAAGCCTGATACACTGAAAAACAAACTGTAGTCAATTAATTCTACTAACACTACAGCCTGCTTGGCCTTAATTAAGATTACATTTTTTCTTACCTTTTTAAAAGTGTTTCGCCTAGTATTTGATTCCCAAGCGTCTGCATTTATCTGTCATCACTGTTAATGTCCATGTTACATTGAGACTTCAGGTATTTATTATTTATATGGTGTACTAGCACAACTTGGTATCTGTGAAGGGAAACCACAATATAGTCACTATGGATGTGTAACTGTTTACAGATTTATGGATAAAACTGGTATTTCTAAACACACAGCACGCTGTATTTTCTAATAAATTACAAAATAATTCCTTATATTTAGCTATAAAATGTGTTATCTTCAAAGATAGATGATTTGCTAATAACACTCTTACAAATGTTTTTCAGAGTACCCACATAAAATATCTCAAAATTTAAAATTCTTACAAGTTTGAGAGCTCCTCGGATTCCATTTGACTATCAACATAGACATACATCATTTTCTAGAAGTCTGTAATTTCTCAGACATTAGTAGAAAAGTACTAATTTTGTGTTATACAATAATCTTAGGGAATAAATCTGTAATGCTTAAGAATGCAGTAAAAAAAGGTCCCTTAAATGTGACTCTAATGTATTTGATACCTGTTAAAGTAATATTTTTGCTTTGGTTAGATTATTCCTCTGTGACTATTTTGTCAACATTGTTTTGGAAGTAAATAGAAAATGAATATGACAAAATAAATGAAGAAAAATGAATGCAGTTGTAACTGTACAAATATTCCTTAAAAGCCAGCTTCTTGAAAGGTAAAAGATTCATACAATCTGAAGAAAAACCAGAGTTTTAAAAGCCAGCTTCTTAAAAACACAGGCTTGGTTGTAGGCCGCAAGTCTGAAAAACACATAGATGTGCTTATGATGAAGAAAAGCATTATATAAAACTTTTCTACCAGTTTATAAGTGGAAAAAAGTGAGCTACAAAAAAATTATGTATTCATATATATCAAAGAAAGAAACCTATGAATGGCATTCTAAAATGATTCACAATGGTACCATTCCAAATTCCTATGCAATAAAAAGAAAGAGTAAGGCTCTACCAAGACAATGCAAATAACCTTATGGTATTTTGTGGATAAAATGTGTTACCGGAGTTGTCCATCTGCCAGACCTTCTCAGTAAAATCTTTCATTAATGTCAGAGTAGAAACTAATATATCAAATATATCTCGATTTTTTTAAAGAAAATAGAGTAGATAGTAAGAAACCCTGACATCTATCCTCAAACATTTAAAACAATTCTCTATTCATTTTTTCAAATGTTAAAAGACATCAATAACAAAAAATTAAGTTTTAAGTATTCCTTAAGTTGCTATAAATTTTCTTATAAAAAGCAAGTAAGTTAAATTAATCAAAACTCTTGTGTTCCCTACAGTGCTCATTTCATTCACTATACATTTCCAATTTAAGCATCAAGCACAAATGCCATATGCGTTCTGCAGCAGATAAACTACTCTGAATTGTAAGACCTACAATTTTTTATTTGAATTAAACTACAGTAAATTACTTCCAGAAGTTTAAAAAACCTGGTTATTTTGTCTTTAAAAAAAGCATACAAAATGGGAAACAAACCATTTAAAATCCTATTCCTAATGCCTCTTATTTATTCCTTGCCACAGAGCTCTGCTTGTTTTCATGTACTAATAAATTCATTGACTATTCAAAAACCAATCTTAACTGAAAAGAATTACTTTTCCTACTGTTTGCAAGCTAACACTGGTACTACTGTGTCAAATACATTACAGGACCTCAGATTCATGGCACACATGAAATCACTTCAAAAGACTACAGAAAATCTCACTAGAAATGATCAATGCTAGTGATATAGCAAAGGCATAAGCCATACAACTTAGTATAAAAATAAAACTGTGAAGTCTAAGCTAAATCCAACCTAAATTATATGACACTGAGGATTTTTTTAGTTTAATAAGATCCTAGGAAAATAGTAAAAAAAAAAAAAAAAGGTTATACTACAGACTCAATTCTTCAGTTATTGTAAGTGAAAATATCAAATATGTGCACTACATTATGCCTTTAAGTAATTTTAAAAGAAACAAAGAGGAATATTCAAAGTAGGTTGTAAAAAACATCTGGAAAGGTCAAAGACCTTTCCCAGGCAATTAAGCTTATCACAGTTACCTACTTGCCATAGAGAGCTGAACCAATTTTTTTTAAGGAACTAAAAAAGAAACTTGTTTATTGAGGCATGAGAATGCAAGCAACTATAAAAAGCAAAAGCTTATCTGGCTTTAATTGGCTTTTCTTGTCAAATGGGGTGGGATTTTTTGGTGCATTTTCTAAGGGTTCCAAACTGTTCATGATATCCTAATACAGAGAGAGGCTGTACAGCAGAGAACTCTGATCAGGGTGGGATTAACTTCTCAGAGTTGCCTACTTCTTTCTCTTCTGCTTCACGTGTGTGTACTACGAAATAATTGCTGCAAATGATGGGGAGCCCAGCAATTAGCGGGGAAAAAAGTTCTGGAATCCAGTCTGCCATCTTGGCACTTGTTCAGGTCCTTCATTATTTTGTCCACAGCCAGATTTTCTGAAATTTCTGGGAACTCCTTTTCCGTAAATACTCTCAAGTCCTCCTTTGTTAAGCGGCCTGTATCCTCAGCAAGTTTGTGAAACTTGAACATCATGGTTTCCATGGTGTGTCCCACGTGGGAGGGCATTTTAGTGAGGTCTTGGCCAAGATGAGACAGGACTGCTCGGCTGACTAGGATACGGAATTGGTGACAAACCAAATTTTTATTCAGTACAAAGTATAACCAAAGAAGAGTACTTTTTCTGCTCCCTGAATTGGACCTCCCATAGGTCCAGTGTCTTGGATTTTAGATATAAGCCTATATCAATGTCAACAGAAAGATAGCACAAAGAATATCAGATTTAGTGGAGGGAGACATAAGTATGATTTCTGCCCCTAATAATAACTGACCATATCAAACCACTTTGTGCTTCTGCACTTCATTTTTTCATCTATAAAACAAGAGACAAAATACCTGCCTACTACCTCTCAGAGGGTCAAAAGAGATTATGTCTGTGAAGTACTTTAGTTTGCTGGTTTTTAGACTTTAGTGTGCCTAAGAAATTCCTGAAACTAACCACAGCAGAAATTGAGGTTTAGCACTCTGGACATGTATGCATAAATCTTTAGTTTTCATGAACTATTTTAGGTCATCCCAAGTTCCACTGGGGGCTCCCCCAAGGAAGAGGATTATATTTTGAAAAAAACTGCATCAGTCTCTTGTGAGACTTTAGCTGTATGTAGCATTACCCTAAGTACTTGTTTAAAATGCAAATTTCTAAACCTCATCCTTAAAAATTCAGATTCAATAAACGGGACAGGGCACAGAATTTTACCAAATACAACCGGTGATTCAAATGTAAATGGTTCATGATCTATCCTTTCAGAAACCCTGAACTAAATTTTTCCATTCATATTTCAAATCCTTTCCTACCTCTCCAGTGTCATCAACCATGACCAACCTTAGGCCTCATCATCACTTGAACTAATAACACACCTGCCTTGTAATTGGCCCCTCTACTTTAAGTCCTGTCACTTACAAGTGCATGGTCACAGAGTGATCTAAAAAGCACACTTACGTCACTCTCCTATCTAAAACACTTCCTAGCAATTTCTGCTTCTGGCCAAGACTAAAACAACTAAATATCTGGACAAATGTATTAAGGTTGTTTTTCAGATGCTGGCAAGCAGGTAAAGTAGGACAGTGATCAATGAGAGAGGAAAAACATGAAACAAAGCCTTTAACTGTCCCAGATTAACTGCTTAGAGTTTCCAGGCTACAGAGCAGGGAGGGTTATCCCAGACAAAGCACAGCAGTCTCCCTAAGTTAAGATGAAGAAGTGAGGAGTCTGGGGAGACCAAAGTAGGCAGGGCCCCAAAAACACTGTACCAGAGAGGTGGGAGCTATGGAGAGACAAAAGACAGACCTCAGAAACTCTGCAGAGATTCCCCTCAAGTCTTGAGCTGAGTACTGAACATACTGGAAAACCACTCATAAGTAGTGCAGAGAAAGATATGCATAGCCAGGGGTATGCTGGAAAATGTAACAACTGGGGGTAGTGAGTGGTTTGTATTTCATGGTTTATAGGGTTACTAATGTCCAAGGTGTCAATATTCCTACCCATCAAGTGATATCACATAGTGCAAAGTTGGGAAAAGATACACTGTAGCAAATTACCACCAGAGGACAAAAAGAGTAGTATGTAATAATACAAGTAGGAGATAATGAGTTTTGAATATTTATTACCTTTGCACTTAATATAACTGATTTAATTATAAGCTTATATGATTATATTCGACTAAGAATTAAACCAGCTCACAAACTTCCTGACATTTTAATAGCTGGCTTAGACAAAACTCTAGCCTATCAGTGCCACGGCTCACACAGCCAGGAACACCTCCCAAACAGAGTAGAAAACCTCATAATTCACGCCATCAAGTACAGTGCTCAGAGGGTCATTGCCTCAGTAGTGGGGCAAAATGAGCTCTAGGCTAAATATAGCTTTGATCCCATTTAACAAAATTAAAAAAAGTCTCAAAACAATAAAGCCATTCCCAAGGAACTTAACTGTGTCCCACAACAATGCTCAAGAATATTTATAGAAATACAAAGATGTCCAGAACCGAAACAAGGTAAAATTGATGTCTGACAGGAAAAGACCACCCTTGATGAGAAAAATCAATCAAGAGAAAAGACCCATGTGACAGACTTATCAGACAAGAACATTAGATTGGTTGTTATAACTGTAGTCTATATAACTGTAGCTTATATGTGCAAAAGGTAAATGGAAATATTAAGCATATTAGGTAGAGATATGAAGATATTAAAAATAAATAAATTGAATCTTCTGGTAATGAAAAATGCTGGTTGGTATTAACAAGAGAGTAGGCACTACAAAGAAAATGCCAACACACCCTGGCTGGGTAGCTCAGCTGGTTGGATCATCATCCCATACAACAAAAAGACTGCAGGTTCGATTTCCAGTTGGGGTGCACAGGAGAGGCAACTGATTGATGTTTCTCTCTCACACTGATGTCTTTGTGTGTTTCTCTGTCTCTCTCATACCAATAAACATATGCCGAGGAGAGGATTTTAAAAATTCAATCAACATAAAGACATAGCAACAG